GGGGGTCAGAATCTCCGCGATCAAGGATGAGAGGTCGGGGGTCAGAATCTCCGCGATCAAGGATGAGAGTCGGGGGGTCAGAATCTCCCCGATCAAGGATGAGAGTCGGGGGGTCAGAATCTCCACCATCAAGGATGAGAGTCAGGGGTCAGAATCTCCGCGATCAAGGATGAGAGTCGGGGGGTCAGAATCTCCACGATCAAGGATGAGAGTCGGGGGGTCAGAATATCCACAATCAAGGATGAGAGTCGGGGGGTCAGAGTCTCCACTATCAAGGATGAGAGGTCGGGGGTCAGAATCTCCGTGATCAAGGATGAGAAGTTGGGGGTCAGAATCTCCGTGATCAAGGATGAGAAGTCGGGGGTCAGAATCTCCACCATCAAGGATGAGAAGTCGGGGGTCAGAATCTCCACCATCAAGGATGAAAGGTCGGGGGTCAGAATCTCCACCATCAAGGAGGAGAGTCGGGGGGTCAGAGTCTCCACCATCAAGGATGAGAGGTTGGGGTTCAGAATCTCCGTGATCAAGGATGAGAGGTCGGGGGTCAGAATCTCCACGATCAAGGATGAGAGTCAGGGGTCAGAATCTCCACCATCAAGGATGAGAGTCAGGGGTCAGAATCTCCACTATCAAGGATGAGAGGTCGGGGGTCAGAATCTCCGTGATCAAGGATGAGAGGTGGGGGTCGAGGGTGGGTACCTGTGCCGGGGGCTGACGTGGGGCCGGAGCCGCACCCTGCAGACGCCGTCAGTGCAGTCTTTCCCCACGAGGCTGTGGGGGTGGACTCGGTGTGGCCAGTCCTTCCACACCAGGCAGGCAGTCACCTCCACCTCCCGCAGCCCTCCGCAATCCCGGAGCTGCAGGAAGAGAGGTGCTCTTTGAGGATCCCATCGCAGACGCCTGTGCCCATTCGAACTCCTTGGGGCCTCCCTTGGCAGCTCCCCAACCCTCTCCCCACGGAGGCCTCTGTTGGGAGCTCCCAACCTTCTCCCCCAACCAGGATGATGAAATGTGTTAGCTTAAGACCACTTTGGGCCAGGTGCAGTGGTTCGCGCCTGTAATCCCAGCATGTTGGGAGGTTGAGGCAGGCGCATCACCTGAGGTCGGGAGTGCCAGACCAGCCTGGCCAACATGGTGAAATCCCGTCTCTACTAAAAGTACAAAAATTAGCTGGGCGTGGTGACATGCGCCTGTAATCCCAGCTACTAGGGAAGCTGAGGCAGGAGAATTGCCTGAACCTGGGAGGCGGAGGTTGCAGTAAGCTGAGATCATGCCACTGCACTCCAGCTTGGGCGACAGGGTGGTTGTCTCAAAATTAAATAAATAAATAAATAAGTACCACTTTGATATCCTAAACCAGAAGCTTCCAACTGATGAACTGAGGTCCTCATATCATATTTGCCCTACAGGCTGCTTTTTTAGGCCACCCATCCTTTTTTTTTTTTGAGACAGGGTCTCGCTCTGTTGCCCAGGCTGAAGTGCAGTGGCATAAGCTCTTGGCTCACTGCAGCCTCCGCCCCCACACTCAAGGGATTCTCCTGCCTCAGCCTCCCAAGTGGCTGGGACTACAGGTGCACACCACCATGCCCAGCTCATTTTTGTGTTTTCAGTAGAGACAGGGTGTTGCTACATTGCTCAGGCTGGTCTCAAACTCCTGAGCTCAAGTGATCCGCCTCCCTTGGCCTCCCAAAACACTGGGATTACAGGTGTGAGGCACCATGTGAAACTTTCAGTGTCAGGGAAGACTATAAAAATGGGTGCCACATTTGGGGTTAAAAAACGAATGATGGGCCAGGCACAGTGACTTACACCTGTAACCCCAGCACTTTGGGAGGCTGAGGTGGGAGGACTGCTTGAGCCCAGGAGTTTGAGCAGCCTGGGCAACATAGCGAAACCCCATCTCCATAAAAAATTCATATATTAGGGCCGGGTGCGGTGGCTCAAGCCTGTAATCCCAGCACTTTGGGAGGCTGAGGCGGGT